ACTCATTTTGTCTGCACGCTTCGCATATATAATTTAGAGTGTGGGCGGTTTTTGGGTGCTCAGTTGGGGTATGCTTATTTCCTGTCAAATATCTGTCGTCATCTCCTCCTTTCTTTTTCTTTGTATGTTACTCTGCGGCAGCACATCTTATCGTCGGCACTTATATGATCTGTTTGTTTTGCAAGTACCGTAAAACTCTTACGAAAACTAAAAGCTAAGAGTTTTTAAAGGTTTGTAGTTGGAGACAGACATCTACAAGATCTGACCTGTCAAGTCCTTTAATGTTCTCTATTGTGTTGAAATTTTTTTAGTTTAGAGACCTCCCGTCTCTAAACTAAAAAATTTTCAGCACAATAGAGAACATTAAAGGAATTGACAGGTCAGATCTTGTAGATGTCTGTCTCCAACTACAAACCTTTAAAAACTCTTAGCTTTTAGTTTTCGTAAGAGTTTTACGGTACTTGCAAAACAAACAGATCATATAAGTGCCGACGATAAGATGTGCTGCCGCAGAGTAACATACAAAGAAAAAGAAAGGAGGAGATGACGACAGATATTTGACAGGAAATAAGCATACCCCAACTGAGCACCCAAAAACCGCCCACACTCTAAATCATATATGCGAAGCGTGCAGACAAAGTGAGTTACTTCTCGGATTCGAGCCCTATAAAAATAGATACTTTATGCTTATCGATCAAGTTTTTACAATTTATAAGTATGAAATAATGAAAGGCATGTTATAGTCAAAGTATATTGCGAAAACAGAAAATCTACACATTTGACCCTAGTGTCGATTTTTGGCAAATAACTCCATTTATGGATTGTGAGGAGTAACTCATTTTGTCAACACGCGTCACACACACACACACACACATATATATCTATATATCTATCTATCTATATATATGACCAAAAATAAAAGACATAGGCTCGGACACGCACAGCAAGGCGAATCTCCCTTCCCAGAATCAAGACAACCTACCCAGGCGGGGTTCGTGTCGTTATCCGTGATCAAAAGAGGCAGCACAGAGGTGACATTGTCCAGAATGAGTGGTCCTATCGTGGTGTTCACGGAGCTCAGAAGGGAACTCACTAGGTTGTCCGTCACATTCGCCATCGTCGCCGCCGCTGATGGAACTGCTGTTGTATTTTCTGCAGTTCCTTGCATTTTTTTTTTGAGAGCTCGCGAGAGCAGAGTCTTTAGAACTGGAAGGCTGCTTCTCCCTATAAAATGATGACTGAATTCGGATTTATACTCAACGTTACTGGAGATGGTAGGGTAGAGATGACGGTGTCTCCATCAAACCGACAGTGAGTCGAGGGGTTCAGTATCTTCAGAAGAACAACTGGCAGCGCTATGGCTATATGCGTTTATCCTTACCGGCAACAAACACACAGCAAGTCAAAGGAATGAACAAGAAAAACAAGAACTTCCTTAAGAACGTTCCCACTCAAGAATATCTCAGAAAAAGCAAAACACAATATATGCCTTAGTCCAAATAAACCACAAACAGGATATCATGACTGAGAGCTAAAAAACAAAACGGCTTGTCCATATCCCACGCGTGTTAGTGCATATTTTGTAATTTGGGTTCTGTCACAAGCACTTCGTTGCGAATGAAAGCAGGTGAGGCAACCGCAGTTCCAATTCAACGTTTTTGATAAACGTCTGCAGAGTAATTATCAACTCAGGCCCTTACAAATAGGTCATATCGTTCAATCACACTTCTGAATCAACTGCAGTGAAAAACATAATTGAATAATTATGGCTCTGTTTAGATTAACGTACAAAATGTTCAAATCAGGAACACGTGAAAATTCGTGTCTACCTCTTGGACGACAGGAGCAATAACAGAAGGAACAAAAGAAATCAACAGCTCTGGGCTACACGTAGTGCAAAACGTAGATCAAAACTGAATCATCAGCTGACCGTTTTCCTTGACCTCTGCGAGTGTTGTTCCACGCGAAATTATCCAATCACTGAACGATATAACCTGCGTCGGTTTCCCAAGAACTCGTTCCACGAAGGCAGTTAGACCTCGATCTTGTGTCACTCTTCGAGCTCTAGCGGCTAGTAATCCCAGATTAGACGCTACGTCACGCTTTCGAGTCCCGCAACTGTTCACGCAAGGCACCAGAACCGTCCAATGGCGCGTGCAGTAGACAACACTTTTAGGCGTAGCACTGACTGACACTGTGTGAGAGTTTAGGCTCCCTCAGGACTACAGCTAAATCCTGGTTCCAGCATAGTGAGAGTCGTACATTAATTTACTGACGCAGGCGATCCAAACCATTAAAACTCACAGTTGAATGGGGATACGTGTTGGTCTGGACAAAATAATAAGCGAGAGATTCCGTTGGTGGCACTGCCAAGAGAACACCAACAGAGATAATACAGAAGCACTTTGGCGGGCTTGGCCAAATCCTCTCTCTCTCTCTCTCTCTCTCTCTCTCTCTCTCTCTCTCTCTCTCTCTCCTCTCTCTCTCTCTCTCTCTCTCTCTCCCCCCCCCCCCCCAACACACACACTTAATAGCAAAGTGAGACCTTTGCATGTGAAAAGAAAGTTGTTTCACTTTGATGAGTTGGATAAATTTCTTTCACCCACACCTTGTAGCAATTGTGACCATTCTCTAATCACAATACAATTATTACAATTTATCAATATAATACCACAGAGTTCGCCTGGGGCAGATACCGGCTTTGGAACGGGCGTTCTACAACGCATTATGCCTTCTTTATAACCCCTTGGCTCTGCCTACCTGACGGTCAACCAATCCGCTAAAATCAGTGCTTCCTTGAGACTGACTTATAGTACTATGCTTGCCTGTCTACTTGCCTATTTATCAGGGCACAAAGTGTGTTTAACTCTCTGGCACAGTGAGGAGGAGGGAAAAAACGCGCGCGGGTGGGGGTGGGGGTCGGGAGGGGGAGAGGGGTAATTTCTTTGCGAAGCTGTTTTATTAATTCGTTCTACATTTTTAGTTGGTGTTCCAGTCTAATTTTTTTCCCGCGACCTGGCCGGATAAATTACCCAAAAGGCGGTCGTGACGAAGTACGATAAGGGTCAAGGGTTTTGTCTTGCTACACACTTAACACACTAGACTTCCAAACGCGGTGCCACCACACAGGGAGCCACTCTGTGTAGGTTAACGATAATATATGCATATTGTACAGTCAAACATGCTCTATTAACTAACAGCCACCTGAGCAAGACAATCACCTGTACAAACGACCACTCTCTACTTCCCACATCGCATTCTTTTTATATTATAACGACACGGTCCAAAACAAAACATTACAAAATTCCAAGGAATGAACAGATTTGTAACAGTAACAGTCAGTAACATTACTGTTGCGAGCCAAACTCGCCAGCACATACACTCAGTATAATAATGCCTGCCGAAAACTGCCTGCCAGTCTAAGTCTAAGAAACAAAAACACGTGTATTGAACTACCACATTATCATACACCACAGAGCAGAGTGAAGTCTACAGTGTGTGCAGCAGCAGGAAAAACTACCGGACCAAACCAAGCAGGAACCCCTTGTCACCGGCTGCTGGAGGTATGGCCAGGTAGATTACATGACAGCCCCGGGGGGCGCGGGAGGCGGGCGTGTGAGCCCGAGAGGGCGGGGCCGGGCCTGATCAAGGAGAGA